TCATTCCACAGTAACTGTCCTTTAAAGGCAAATCCCCTCCTCTTGAGTGAGTTTGGTGTCCTAGGACAATCCTGTTTGGCCAGTTGTGAATCCTGTATTCTATGCACATGGGGTATACATACAATCTCAGGGGCAGCCCTAGGTGATGGGCCACAGGTGCACCTAAAAGTTACATTATCACAATAGAGCAGTTCTTTGGAAAGAAGGGCGATTGAGGAGGGTGACCCAGGGATCTCAGCTCTGCCACCGGAGGGCAGGAGTGTGCCAGCCACCCAGAATTGCAGGATCAGCCCTTGTGCCCACCCCAGACACAAGACCACATACTGTGGGAGCCCCTGGAAGGGGCTGGTCCCACCGCTTCAGGAAGAGCAAGGGGCATGTCCAGAGCCAGGCTGTGTGCTCACAACAGGACTCCTTCGCCCACCCCAGCATCTCTCAATACAGAAGTAACTGCATTCCGTACTGCGTCACCTAACACTCTTATGCCTCAAAGGACAGCAGCACCCGGGAACTTGGCCCTAAATGCCCGTGGCACCTGGAAGTTTTGATAACAACCCTGACCCTCCCCACATTTTCAAATCCCCCCAATCAGGAGCGGAGGGTAAGACAGGGGAGCTGAACAGCCTCCTGCTGAAAGGCATTGAACCAGCCTGTTCCCAGCAATGCCTCCATCTCTGAGCATGAAGGCAGGGCTGGTGGGTTGGGGCTGACCTCATACCTGCTGGGAGAGCCCACACCTTTGGGAAAAGATCATGGTCAAACCCCGCTCTTTGGGGGCTGCCCTCCAGACCAAAGCGAAGGAACCCAGAAGCAGAAACTTCAGCGTTTGTCACACAGACCTGGGTTTAAACCTTGATCTGAGTTCCTACTAGCTGAATGGCTTCAGTTAAGTCTCTTAACCCTTCTAAGCCTGTTTCCTCATCTGCCAAAGAGGAAATAAGAATATCTTTTTTCTTTCTTTCTTTTTTTTTTTTTGAGATGGAGTTTTTCCCTTTCACCAGGCTGGAGTGCAGCGGCATGATCTTGTCTCACTGCAACCTCTGTCTCCTGGGTCCAAGTGATTCTTGTGCCTCAGCCTCCCGAGTAGCTGGTATCACAGGCGCCTGCCACCATGCCTGGTTAATTTTTGTGTTTTTAGTAGAGAAGTGGTTTCACTGTGTTGCAGAGGCTGGTCTCAAACTCCTGACATCAAGTGATCTGCCCAGTGTTGGGAATACAGGCATGAGCCACCATGCCCAGTCAAGAATATCTTTTTGATCTGGCTTTTGTTGAGGGTCAATAAGAGGATGGATGTGGTAAGCTTGGCTGGCACCTGGGACACAGGAAACGCCCGATACAGGGTGGCTGACAGTACTTTATGGGAAATTGCCATGTGGCCTCTATCCTGTACCTGTTAAGAAACCACTCTCTGAGCCAGGGTGCCAGGGCAAGGCTGTGGGCTGCTGTGCCAGGGCAGGAGCCCTTTTCCCCTCTTTCTGGGTCCTAGGACATACCTCACAGGTCACACTAATACAACTGCTTACCTGCCCACCACACTACTATCCATTTACCAACTTTTATTTATTTAATTAATTTATTTTTGAGATGAAGTTTTGCTCTTGTTGTCCAGGCTGGAGTGCAGTGGCACCATCTCAGCTCACCACAACCTCTACCTCCTGGGTTCAAGTGATTCTCCTGCCTTAGCCTCCTGAGTAGCTGGGATTAAAGGCATGTGCCACCACACCCGGCTAACTTTATATTTTCAGTAGAGACAAGGTTTCTCCATGTTAGTCAGGCCGGTCTCGAACTCCTGACCTCAGGTGATCTGCCCACCTCAGCCTCCCAAAGTGCGGGGATTACAGGCGTGAGCCACCAAGCCCAGCCCAATTTACCAACTTTTCTAATTACATACTTTTTCTAGAATATTTATGACATAGTCCCATTCTTACCCTCAATGAATGTTTTCCATATAAAGAAGAAACCACATGGTATTTCAGTTCCATACACCCTATCCATTGCTGAGCACTGGGTTTAAGCCCCGTTGTGTGCCCAGGGTCCCCACTTTGAGAGGCTGAGCCTGGCTGCAGAGCCCTCACAGGGCAGTTTAATTGGGATGTCTTGGGGTTGATTCCTGCCTTTTGTCCTCACGGCTTAGGACAATTAAGGGCTTTAAGGAAGCCACAAGCTTACTTCAAGACCAGTAGTCTTGGAGCAGAGGGGAGAGAGGAGGGGCTGCTTCTGAGACCTTCTCATCTCCACCTTCTTGGATGCAGATCAGTAAGATTGGCTGCTCCTCTGTTTCCTGCTGCATGGGCACCTGCCCTTCATTCAGGCCTTTTCCACCCTCTTAAAGTCAGCTGCAGGGGTGAGGTCTCCACTTATCCCCATGTGGGAAGCGGAACAGCAGGTAAGAGGAGAACTCAGGATCCACAAGGCCTGGTTGGAATCCTAACTCCTCACTTTCCAGCTTGGGCAGGCTATTTCATTCTCTGCTGTAAAATGGGAACAGTAAGAGCATCTACCTCCAAGGGTCCTTGCGGGATTTAAATGAATTGGTTCCTATAAAGAAAGCACTGAGCTCAGCGCCAGGCATACAGCAGGCATTCAATAAACATCTGCTATTAGAATTACTCCCAGTGCCTTGCACGGGGCGGGGCACACACAGCAGGTGTCAGTTCTTATTAGTGGAATGGATGGACCAGGCTGTTTGGATATGGATAATAAACTGTATGACTCTCAAGGATGCTGATGGAGAACCCAGCAGCCAGGTGAAAATACCTGCATTTACCACAGCTCAAGCCTCTCTGATTCATCAGGGAGGCAAGGTTTGCAATCCAGCAATAAACACCAGGCCAGAAAGTAGAGCCAAGTCCGTGGTAGAGAGTGCTGTGGCTCAAGTGCAGCGAGTGCCTACTATAGTTCCACAGCCTCGGGGTGGTCCTCCCTTTGGATTCAGAGAGCAGAGGGCAAAAATCATGACACAGTTGAAGTCACCCAGGGACCAATATGGAGTTCACGGTGAGATACCTTGGCCTTAAATGGAGTTTTGAAGCTGACTTTGAAAGGTAATCCTAAGCTATTCACTTAACCTGCCGAGCCTTCATTTTCTTCCCTGTAAGGGCGGGTAACAGTACCAGCCACAGAGGCAGATCTGACCATCATGCAGTCTGCAATAACTCACAGTCTGTGTGAGCAGCCTAGAAGAGCAACTAGAAGAACTTAGGAAGATTATAAATGCAAATAAACCAGCGCCACCTGAGATGGACATATTTTCAGTTTTGCCTCCTAGAGGACATCTGGCAATGTCTGGGGACATTCTGGTTATCACAACTCAGGAATTTCTACTGGCACCTGGTGGGTAGAGGCCAGGGATGCAGCTAAACAGCCTGAGTCACACAGGGCAGTCCCCCGCAACAGAATGATCCAGCCCCAAACGTCAATAGTGCGGGGGCTGAGAGTTATCAGCTCAGATTTAGTTTGACTTTCATCATGTAAAAGACTTATGTTTTCAGCTGTGTGGGCAAAGTGTGTCATGGGTTGCTACTAGGTGAGGAGACGGAAATGATTAGCACACGCAAAAAATTCCACCCAGCTGCCAATAAGGCATCGTTCCATGACTAAGATCCTAAAACTCTCAGTAAAGGTCAACCTTCCAGGAAGTTCTGAGAAATGCAGCTTTTCATGCTGATTTCCTGGGCTGACTCCGTGACTAATTAGCCCGTCTCACACCCAGGGAGAAATCCAGCAGCCCAGAGAGCCTCCTCCTCTGCCCCCGTCAATCTCTGCAGAAGGACGACATTCAGCAAACCACGCTGCTCAGCATCTAAGCTCATTCTCCAAAGAAGGATCGCCCACCCATCCTTCTATTGCTCCCTCCCTCCTTCCCTCCATCCAACAAATACTAAGGGCCCACCATGCGTCTGTCCTCTGTGTTGCACTTGCTGGGATGCAATGGTAAACAGCCCCAACAAGGGCACTGCCCTCATGGAGCTTGTAGGGAAGGAGCTGGACAACTGGCCCAACCACGACACCAACCTTTTCCTTACAAGACCTGTGTAAGGATCTTGACATGACTTACAAGATCATGTTCTTAGAACCCTAGACAGTTTAAAAAATCATGTTTTATGGAACATTTGGCTCTTGTCCCTTATTTGCACTTGAAATTGCAGTTCAGAGAGGTTAAGAGACTTGATCAAGGTCACATGCAAGAGTCTCAGAGACGGAATGAAAATCCAGGTTCCCCGACTCCAGGGTTATCCTATTTCACCATGGCCACCATCACCCCAGCAACACTCATGGCCTGCACCCTGCCTGCCAGCTCCATGCTGGGACTCTACACAGATTCACTCATGTGATTCTCACTGCCACCCTTTAAGGTAGAGACCACTGTTACTCCTCTGGACACATGGGGAAACCAAAGCACAGAGACATTCAGTAACTTGCCAAGGTGGGGCTTGAATTGTAATATAATCGACGCCCAAAATGCTCCCAATTCTTGGTCCCTGGCTATTCATTAGAACAGATAAAGAGGTTAGATATGACAACTGTCAGCAAGTCACTCCCCTCTCTGAGCCTCAGTTTCCCTATCTACATAAGAGGGTGGTCTAGGTGATTTGAGGGTCTACCTACCTCTGACCTCTGGGGACCTTTGGAGCCCTGGCACCTGCTCCATTGGGTCCCAGTGTGCCACTAAAGCCATTCCTGCTACCTGCTGGCGCCTGGTGAGGCTCAGACCAGGGGCCTGTGTGGAGATGGGAAGGAGCCAGATTCAATCGTTACTTAGGAGGTAAAACCACAGGCCTGTTGTGAGGAGTAAGTGAAATAAACTCAGAGAAGCACCAAGCAGTCCTGGCATGAACGAAGGGCTCGCCAGCTCACCAATGACTTGAGGTTCCTTTTCCTTCCTGAAGTCAAAAAACCACGGGAGACCTGGCCCCAGGTGGCGGCACCTCTCACTAGCTTCTAAAGCCAAGGATGAAGATGGGAACCCAACATTTACAGAGCTTAGAAAATCAACTTACCATCCTTGAGTGAGAAGCTCAGAAGGTCCTGAAGGAAAAGGTAACAGGCATCAGTAACAAAGCTGATGTAAAATCAGCCCACTTGTTTGACAAATATTGACTCCTACCAAGTGGTAGAGCAAGACAGGCAAAAAGCCACTGCCCTAGATTCTAGAGGTGAGCCAGATTATAAATAGGCAAGCATAGAAAGACAGAAATACAGGAGGACTTCAGAGAGTGAGGTAAGGAGGGGAAGGGGCTATTTTAAATCCATGTACGTTCCCCACCAACAGTCTGTGTCACAAGCTTCTATCTGCTTTAGCCGCATGCAGAGCTGGTAATGCTCAAGGGCACACAGCAAAGCTTCAGCTTCTGAAAAGAGGCGCCACAGCTTAGGAGAAGGCGGGCTCTGGAGTCACACTACCAATGTTCAAATCCTGGCTCTGCCACTCCTCAGCTGCGTGACCTTGGGCAAGTTACAGAACCTCTTTGTGTCTCTGTTTTCTCAACTATGAAATGGGGGTGGTCTTACTACTTACCTCATGAGACCACTTTGAGATTTAGATGAGTTAGTTTTTGAAAAGGCACTAGCACATAATAAGCACTGTATGCACATTAAGTCAAGAGTAAATATTCAATAATGATAATCAACATCAGCTATGATCATGATATGATATTATGATGACTTATTTTATCTTCCAACTGCTCCCCGCCACTAGATGTGATTTTTAGGCTGCCACTAAAAGAAAATGATTTGTTCTGCTGTCCACAGCAGCCACCACCAGGTGTTGAGTGTACCTGAACGATCAACATCGGGTTGTCCTTCAAGATGGGGTCCTTCAGTAAAATCTGAACAAACACATCTGCTCCTTCACCTCCCAGGCCGCTCGCAAAAGCAGTCATGGTTGGCAAGACGGCTTCGGACAACTCCAGCCACTTCACCAGGCCTGCCATGAACTCTGTGCAGAAGGAGCTGAAAGGCAGACATGGCTTAGTTCCCATGATCCTCGGAGCTCAGCCACTGGGAAGTGTAGATTCGTTGTGGTCATGGATGTGAATGGCTGGCACGTGCATGACTTAGTGGCTGTGATCCCTCAAACATAGAGACAGTCAAAGACCTCATCATGGGTGATGTGTATTTTTTTCCTTTTGAGATGTAGTCTTGCTCTGTTGCCCAGGCTGGAGTGCAATGGCACAATCTCGGCCCACTGCAACCTCCACCTCCAGGGTTCAAGCTATTCTCCTGCCTCAACCTCCCAAGTAGCTGGGACTACAGGTGCCTGCCACCACACCTAGCTATTTTTTGTATTTTTAGTACAGACAGGGTTTCACCATGTTGGTCAGGCTGGTCTTGAACTCCTGACCTCAGGTGATCCACCCACCTCTGCCTCCCAAAGTGCTGGGATTACAGGTGTGAGCCACCGTGCCTGGTCTGGGTGATGTGGATATTGGTTTTTTTTCTCTCACCAAAACATTTATCAAAGAGGCTGTAAGCCACAGCAATGAGGGCTATGGATGGTGACTGGTTGCATGTCCTGGACCTAGGCTGTGCCAGGGGCTCAGGAATAAAGATGACAAAACCTGGTATCTAAGGAAGCTCACAGCAGGGTGGACCCTCAAGTAACCAAGTGACCCTAGTGCCGTGTGGTACCCTGGGACAGAGGTGGAGTCAGTTCAATGCAGCCCATAGACAGAGCCCTGAATCCACCTGTAGAGGTGACGGCAGCCACCAAAAAAGGCTTCCCAGAGAAGGCCATCTGCTCTCCTGGACATCGCCAAGGATGTGCTTTCTGGAAAACACTGGCTGCTGCAGAAGTGGAAGAAGTGAAGAGAAGAGTGCCCTCCATGTGCACTGCCACTGCTGGTCTCTGTCCATAGTGGGCATTTGAGTGCAGTCCTACAGGGTCCCCAGGGGAGGATGGATGGGGCTGCTCTAGGGGAGAAGGAGGCATTTGAGTGGAGACACAGAGGTGGGGAGCCCAGAGCATTTGGGAGGATGATGGCAAAGTCCACACCAGACTTCTGACACAGCCACCTCTGTGGAGCAGGTGTGAGCCGGGTGGCAGGTGGGCTAGGGGATGTGGGCCAGGAGAGTCACTTAAGAGGTGATTATACCACTCCCTGGAAAAGGCTGACACCCAGATGCCAGGTCTATCTCCAAAATCAGAGTCCCAGCCTGCCTCAAACTGCACTGCCTTGGGACTCCAGCATTGGGTTCTGCCCTGTAGGGCATACGTAGACTCAGGCCTCTCAGAAACAAGCAGAGCTTCCAGGTGATAGGGGCAATGTCAGGAGCCCCCTGCCCTTCACTACGTGGTCCAGCTATCACATTCCTTAGAGTGGGGCCTGGGCCTTGATGGAAGTGGTGAAGAACCTGGGATCAAATCCTAGCCTCGGCTGGCCACAGTAGCTCATGCCTGTAATCCCAGCATTTTGGGAAGTGGAGCCAGGTGGATCACCTGAGATCAGGAGTTCAAGACCAGCCTAGCCAACATAGTGAAATCCCATCTCTACTGAAAGTACAAAAATTGGCTGGGCATGGTGGCATGTGCCTGTAGTCCCAGCTACATGGAAGGCTGAGGCATGAGAATCACTTGAACCTGGAGGCAGAGGCTGCAGTGAGCTGAGATCGCACCACTGCACCCTAGCCTGGGTGACAGAGCAAGACTCTGTCTCAAAAATAAATAAAAATAAAATAAATAAAATAAATCCTGGCCTCAGCATTGTTATGGTGGGTTCCTGGGAAGCTGCCCTGAAATGGAGATGATGAGGGTTTCCCTTGGAATCCACACCTGGGGGAGGGAAGGGAGGAAGCAGGGCTGGGCAGAGGGAGCAGCCGAGCCGTGATACGGTCTCGAGGGAGGTCTCAGCACACCTTGCAGGGAGTTCCAAAGATGGGATGACCCTTCGGAACTGCCCCCAGTGGGGTGAGAGAACCAAGGCTTTACAGCTGTGCATCAGCCAGTTACCAGATGCCCAGGGAGGGGGCAGAACCTTGGGCAAGGGGACTCCCTTCAGCTGAGGCAGGCCCAAAAACGTACAGACAGCTCAGAGCTGTGTGGGCAGCCTTGCCAGCAGCTGGGAGTGAAAGTCCTTCATTCTTGAAGGGGAATCTGAGCAGAGAGCATCTTGGGAAAGTGTAATGACCTCTCTGTGCCTCCGTGTCCTTATCTGCCAAACGGGTTCAAGAGACCAACTTCTTAAGTTTGGTTGGGGATGAAGTGAGATGACAAATACAAAGCGCCCAAAGCGAGCTCAGTGTATAGAAGATGTCCAGCTAATGTCAGCTAGCATCATTATTTTGATTTACTAGGCAACAGAGGGAGGCAGTGGAGGATGAGGTTGACTCGGACTCTGAAGTCCAACCACCTGGGGGAGTCCTGGTTCTCCTAGAAACTGGCTTTGTGTCCTCACTTTACCTCTCAGCTTCATTTCCCTCTGAGATAACATGTGGATAATAACAAGACCTGCCTCACAGGCGAGTTGGGAAGATTAAATGGCATAATAACACTGTCTAGGACCAGTAAACCCTGGATAAATATTAGCTACTGCTACCATGGTGATTATAATTTGCCCTGCTGCAATTTACTGGGATTACCTTGGGGTGGTAAGGCAGTACGTATTTGGGGAGGGGATGGCTAAGTGAACTGAGTATCACTTAGAGGCAAATTTATACACAGAAAGGGCTCAGGGCCGAGGGCTAGAGCATGGCCTGGCCCTCCTGTCCACGAAGAAAGTTTTGGATACAGAGAAGCATTTCTTAACAGGAGTGCAGGGGCAAAGAGCATAGATTGGTTCAAATCCCAGCTCTGCCACAAGCTGTGTAATCCTGGACAAGTTACTTCACCTCTCTGGCCCTTAGTTTACTTATCTGTAAAACAGTGGAGATGATGAAACCATTTCACAGAGTTGTTGAAAGGATTAACTAAGTAACTAAGTATCTGTCATGTGCTTAGAACATGGTACCTACAAAGCACTGGATAGTAATGTGTTTCTCTCCAAGGACAAATGAATTAAAATATATATATATAAAGTGCCAGCAGAGCAATTTATCAGATAACAAGCAGCGTTTTAGATCGGCAGGGGTTTGGTAATTGCTACTGATGTGTTTGTTGGTCTAGTGGAAATATAGGAAAATCAACAGCAACGATGACAACAGATAACAATCGGAGCAACTGTCTGTCAGTCCCTGTGCTGAGGAGCCTCGTACACCTGGAGTTGCTTAATTCTCACCATGACCCCACAAGGAAGGGAGGTACTAGTTTACCTCTACTATAGAGATAAGGCATCCTAGATCCAGAGAGGTTAAGTGACAGCTCCAGATTCAAGCCTACGTCTCTAGGACCCCAGAGGCTATGCACACCTGCTGCATAGGTTACCCCTCTCCAGTGGTTATATCCCTGAGTACTGACCATGCACAGCCCACTCCCTGAGCAAGGGCATCACACACCCCTCTTCATCCTACCCCATCTTACACATGGCGCACCTGGGCTGCTGGGTTTTTTTTGTTTGTTTGGTTGGTTTTGAGACAGAGTTTCACTCTCGTTACCCAGGCTACAGTGCAATGACGTGATCTCGGCTCACTGCATCCTCTGAAGTCCAACCACCTCTGCCTCCCAGGTTCAAGCCATTCTCCTGCCTCAGCCTCCTAAGTAGCTGGGATTAAAAATGTGTGCTGCCAAGCCCATCTAATTTTGTATTTTTAGTAAAGACAAGGTTTAAGTGATTCTCCTGTGTCAGCCTCCCGAGTAGCTGGGGTTAGAGGTATGCACCACCGTGCCCTGCAAATTTTATATTTTTTGTAGCGATGGGGTTTCTCCAAGTCAGTCAGGCTGGTCTTGAACTCCCAACCTCAGGTGATCGGCCCACCTTGGCCCCCCAAAGTGCTGGGATTACAGGCATGAGCCATCTCGCCCAGCCCCCTCTAGAATTTTCTAAGGTCCAAACCCATGCTCTTAACAGTTCTGCTATTCTGACTCCTAATATGTGATTTAAACACACACACACAGGAGATACTGTCAATGATAGACAAGAAATAGAACAATATCATCCTTTTGCTCCCATGATCCCCTGTTTAAACCCATCACAGCACTCACTCATCTGTATCTGTCCACTGCTACAATCAGCCACCTGGGTACCCCCACCTAGATGTAAGCATCTTGAGGGCAGGAGCTGGGCCTTGCTTGTCTTTGTTTCCTCCACAGGGCCATGTGCTTCACCCAGCACGTAGTACTCAACAAATGTATGTTTCATGAATGAATGAATATTAATATCTTATCCCCTCCTGGACAGTGTCCTACTTGATTGGGGGATGGTATCTGTCTCATTCACATTTACCATCCATGTACTTCAAATCATACCTGGCATACAGTAGGTGCACAAAAAATGCTTGATAAATGTATAAATGAGTGAATAACCGAATGAGGGGACGTCTTATCCCCCTACCAGATTGTGAGTTTCTTAGAGCAACAGTCCCCAGCCTTTTTGACACCAGGGACTGGTTTCAAGGAAGACCATTTTTCCACCGACCTGGCACAGGTAGGGTTCAGGATGAAACCTCAGATCATCAGGCATTAGTTAGATTCTTAGAAGGAGCGTGCAACCTAGATTCTTCACATGCACAGTTCACGAAAGGATTTGAGCTTCTATGAGAATCTAATGCCACTGCAACTCAACCTCTCTGCACTTAGATTTCTTCACCTACAGATGGGACTATCCAGTATCTACCTGGAAGAGCCATGTCAGTTGCAAAGGACACAGACCATGTGGCTTAGAATTCATAAAACACTTAGAACCAGAGGCAGAGGTCAGGCAGTAATGCTTGCTTGCCCACTGCTCTCCTCCTGCTGTGTAGTCAGATTCCTAACAGGCTACAGATGGGTACTGGCCCACGGCCCGGTGGTTGGAGACCCCTGCCTTAGAGGGAAGGACAATGACTTGCTCCTCTCTGCATCGCCCCGTAGTGCTTGGCAGGCTGCTGGGCTGTCCGTAATTGTTCCCCTGAAGAAGCATAACCTTCCCTCTGGGAGAAAGAAGAATTCACCTGTGCTCAGGTTCAGAAAATAGTTGGGACAGGGAGATGCCACAGAGGGCGGCATAGGCGAAGCGGTTGGCCTCAGTCAGCTCCCGGCCTGTGGGTAGGTGTGGCTCCCCCTCTGCAGTGGACTCGGCTACCAGAGGAGGCTGAGGCAGCCTCTGACATGGCCTGTTCCACGTGGCCATTCCAGCCCCTGCAGGAGAAAAATCCCAGTGAGAAATGCTTCCAGAGGTGGGCAAAGGCTACTTAAGCATGACATAGAGCTTACAAACTGTAAAAGCTGAAAGAGTAGGCATCATTAAAATGAAGAACTTCTTTTCATCACCTTTAAGAGAGTGAAAACACATTAGAGACTGGGATGGAGGGAGGGATCTTCACTGTCTCTCCACAGAGGTTTCTAGACACAGTATAGAAACAACTCCAATAAGTCATTAAGAAAAAGAAATGGGCCAGGCGCGGTGGCTCATGCCTGTAATCCTAGCACTTGGGAGGCCGAGGTGGGTGGATCACAAGGTCAAGAGATCGACACCATCCTGGCCAACATGATGAAATCCCGTCTCTACTAAAATACACAGATTAGCTTGGCATGGTGGCATGCGCCTATAGTCTCAGCTACTCAGGAGGCTGAGGCAGGAGAATTACTTGAACCCAGGAGGTGGAGGTTGCAGTGAGCTGAGATCATGCCACTGAACTCCAGCCTGGGCAACACAGCAAGACTCCATCTAAAAAAAGAGAAAAAGAAAAAGAAGCAAATGTAAAAACGGACAAAAGACTTGAAGAGATACTTCATAAAAGGTAGTCCTCAGGCCCGGCATGGTGCCTCACACCTCTAATCCCAGAGTTTTTATACACTAAGGTAGAAGGATTGAGTGAGCCCGGGAGTTCAAGATCAGCCAGGTCAACATAGTGAGATTCCATCTCTGCAGAAAAATAAAATAAAAGAATTAGCTGGGCATGGTGGCACATGCCTGTAGTTCCAGCTACTTAGGAGGGTAAGGTGAGAGGATCACTTGAGCTAAAGAGTTCGAGGCTGCAATAAGCTATGATCATTGCACTCCAGCCTGGGCTACAGAGGGGCTACAGAATGAAACCCTGTATGTTTAAAAAAAAAGGATAGCCCAATAGCCAGCAAGTATGAAAAGATGTTCCAACATCATTAGTCATCAGAGAAATGGAAATTAAAATCCTAATGAGACACTACCTCTCACCTATCAGAATAGCTAAAACTAAAAAGAAAATGGTTTGACAACATCCACTGAAGCTAAACATATGTCTTCCCTATGCTTTGGCAATTCCACACCTGAGAAATGAGGACTTATGTCACCAAAAGACACATACATGAGTGCTCACAGCAACTTCATTCACAGTAGTCCCAAACTGGCAACAACCCACAGGCCTATCACAGTAGAATGCGTAAATGGTCATATTCACACTGTGAAACATCACACAGCAATGAATAAAAGGATGAACTACAGCACACCACAACACCATGGCTGAATCTCAGACAAAACAATACAAAGAAAGCCATTCACAAGAGAGTACCTACCATGGGATTCCTTTTATGTGAAACTGAAGAATGGTGTTGGAAGTCAGAAGAGGAGTTACACGTGGGAAGGGGTATTGGCTCAGAAGGGGTACAAAGGAGGTTTCTGGGTGAAGGAGATGTTCTCTATCTTGACCTGGGTGGTTGTTACATGGGTCTAAATATATTTTAAAAATTCTCTGAGCTGTATAGTTAAGATTTATGTACTTTGTGTATGGTATACCTCAAAGGAAGGAAGGAAGGAAGAAGGAAAAAAAAGAGGAAAGTCTCCCTTTGTTCTCCCTCCATCTTTTTCTTCCCTCCATTCTTTCCTTCCTTCCCAGGGGGAGAAGAGAAAGGGAGGAGAAAAGGAGGAAGAAGAGGGAAGAGAGGAGGAGAGAGGGGACAAGCTGAGCAGGCATCCAAGAAGCAGAAAGATCCCTGGGAGCCACCAGAAAGAGTACAGGGAATGGTGCCAGCCTCAACTACAGGGCATCAAGGATATGAATGCAGGCTCAGGACCAGACAAACCCAGGTGTGAAAACAAGCACTGCCACTTAGTAGATATAGGACCCTGGGAAACTCAACCTCTCTGTACTTAGATTTCTTCAGCTACAGATGGGACCATCAGTATCTACCCAGAAGAGTTGTGTCAGTAGCAAAGGACACAGCCCATGTGGCTTAGTATTCATAAAGTGCTTAGAATGGAGCCTGGCACAGGGTTCATGCTATATAAATGCTTGTTTAAAAAGTAAATGCATAAAACGATCAACAAACAAATAAATAAAATGTTTGGTATGATGTCTGGCACACAGCAAAGGTTTGATAATAACAAGACCTAACATTACTGAGCGATTACTGGGTGCGGGGCACTGGGGCTGCAATTTTAACGTGCATTGTCTCAGTGGACGCTATGAGGCAGGTAGGACTGTAATGTTCAGTTTGCAAATCAGGACAGAGGCTCAGAGAAGGAACTGGGCTGCGCTCACACAGTCCCTCAATGGCAGGCAGACAGAGCCCAAAGGTAGAACTGTTGGCCACCAGCTCTGTTTTAAGTATTCATCGCCCGGCCAGGAGCCTTCTAGTCTAAAAACCATGCTCCATACTGTTCTTGGTTCCTAAGTTTGTTCCCATCTAGCTGAGCAACATTTTTGTTCTCAAAATATTACTTCTGCAGAGGAGTTCTTTAAAAGTCTGTCCACAACAAGTATTTCATTAGTTTTCAAAACAACCCTGAGGTAGTTAAAAGCAACAAACCAACACTTTTACAATGTTTGCAAAGCATTTTCCAATCCATCTAATTCTTTTTTTTTTTTTTTTGTATTTTTAGTAGAGATGAGGTTTCACCATTTTGGCCAGACTGGTCTTGAACTCGTGACCTCAGGTGAACCACCCACCTTGGCCTTAATTCTTTTCATCTCAAAGTGCTGAGATTACAGGCATGAGCCACCACACCCAACCTTAATTCTTTCTCTTTCTTTTTCTTTTTTTTTTTTGAGACAGTGTCTTATACTGTTGCCAGGCTGGAATGCAATTGGCGTGATCCTGGCTCACTGTAGTCTCTGCCTCCCGGGTTCAAGCAATTCTCCTGCCTCAGCCTCCCAAGTATCTAGGACTACAGGTGTGCAGCACCCCATCTGGCTAACTTTTTGTATTTTAGTAGAACAGGGTTTCACCATGTTGGCCGGGATGGTCTCGATCTCCTGACCTTGTGATCTGCCTGCCTCAGCCTCCCAAAGTGCTAGGATTACAGGTGTGAGCCACCGTGCCCAGCCCTCAATCCATTTAATTCTTACAACTACCGTGTAAAGTAGGACATGAACCATTATGAGTCCCTCTTACAACCAAGGAATGGGTTCAGAAAGGCCAAGCAATTTCTCCAAAGTTACACTGTAAATGATGAGATCCAAACCAGACTTTTGACTCCAAACCTGGAGCTCTTTCCTCTATAATAGCACAGGGATCTTCTTTTCCCTGTTTCAGATGGAGAAATGAAGGCCCAGAGAAGTTAAGGCACCTTGCCCAAAGTCATCCAACAAGACTGTCCTCAGTGGTTGCTCCAGGAACCCACAATTGAGAATCGCAGCAAATTTCCCTGGCTCAGAGGGTCAGTGCAGAACATGGTGGTGGAGACAGGGGGAACAGCATAAACCACGAACTGAGGCCAGTGCCAAGGGCAGCCCTAGCCTGATGTCAGCAAGTCAGCAATTTCCACTACATTCAGTCAACTCCATGTGCCACCTGGAGGCTGTGTTAATTGCACCTATTACACAGAGGAGCCCAAGGTAGTATTTTATTGGGCTGGTGTTTGGGGAGCCCCACGCCAGTTCTTAGCTCAATAATAAACAGCCTTCTGATAAGAGAAGGGTGAGCTGGCCTGCTTCTAACCACAGGGGTATGAAGATGTGTCTAGCATACAAAATGCTAAGCTCAGGCCAGGCACAGTGGCTCATGCCTATAATCCTAGCACTTTGGGAGGCTGAGTTGGGTGGATCACTTGAGTTTGCGAATTTGAGACCAGCCTGGCCAACACAGTGAAACCCTGTCTCTATGAAAATACAAAAATTAGTGGCCAGGCACAGTGGCTTATACCTGTAATCCCAGCAGTTTGGAAGGACAAGGCAGGTGGATCACTTGAGGTCAGGAGTTCAACAGCAGCCTGGCCAACATGGTGAAACCCTGTCTCTACCAAAAATACAAAAATTAGCTGGGTGTGGTGGTGTGTGCCTATAATCCCAGCTGCCCTGGAGGCTGAGGCAAGAGAATCACCTGAATCTGCGAGATGGAGATTCTAGTGAGCTGAGATTGTGCCACTGCACTCCAGGCTAGGCAACAGCGCAAGACTCCATCTCAAAAACAAACAAACAAAAAGGCTAAACTCAGACCAGACTCATTCATTCATTCAACACAATTCCTCCTGATCCCCTACAGTGCATTTTCTATATAGTGGTCTCAGTGGCCTTTTGGTCACATAGACCAATCATGTCACTAGCTTGCTTAACAGTCTGCAAAGTCCTCCCATTACATCAGGATAAATCCCAATCCTGGTTTGATGGCCTAAGAAGGGTGTTCAATCTTTTGGCTTCCCTGGCCCACACTGGAAGAAGAATTGGTTTGGGTCTTACATAAAACACACTAACACTAATGATAGCTGATGAGTTTTAAAAAAAATTGCAAGAAAACCTCATAAGGTTTTAAGAAAGTTTATGAATTTTTGTTGGGTCACATTCAGCCCACAGGCTGAAGACTGCACAAACTTAAAAGTCCTGTGCAGTCTGGCAGCTGCCTGCCGCTGAACTCCATCTCATGTCCCCACGACGGTCTTGTTCACTACGCTACAGCCACACTGGCTGGCTTTCTGCTTGCTCCCTCCAGGCCTTTGCACTTGCCATTCTCCCTGACCATCACATCGTTCTGGCCTCAGCGCAGAGGTGACGTCCTCTGAGAGATCTTTCCCTGACCGCCCGGGCTAAAGTATTATGTTGGTGCAAAAGTAACTGTGGCTTTTGCAATTTCATAGCAAGACCCACACTTACTTTTGTACCAACCTATCTCTGTCTTCTATCCCAGCACTCTGCTCTATTTTTATAACACTCATTCTTATCTAAAATCATGTTTTTTTAACTTATTTGTTTACCTGTGTATACAAATGGTATAGAAACTTCTTGAGGCAGTTCCCTGGTTGTTTTCTCACTGCTGCATCCCCAGCTTTCGGAACAGGTCCTGGCTCACTGTAGGCATTCAGGAAATGCTTGCTGGATGAATGTAGAAGGGGCTAGGATGTGGGAAGCCCTATTCTGGGCCTTAGGGCAGATCAGAGGACAAAACTGACAAGTTCTCTGCTCTTAAGGGGCTTACATTCTGGTGGGAGACAGGCAATAATATGCCAATACATAATGACAAAGTGATCTAAATTGGTCAAGGTCACAGAGCTAATAAGCAGTAGAACCAAGACACACACTCAGGAGGTCTGGCTGCCGAATCCATGCCCTGGCAGCCCTCAACATAAAAGTAAGCATCCGTTCAGGAAGTGGTCAGGGGGAGGAAGAGTTAGGCAGGGTGAGGGGATATGAAGTGATGGGGTGAAGCGGGGCTGGATACTAAATGTGGATGAAAGGTGTCATTCCAGCAGGGGCCTGCAGAAGTCACAGGATGGGTGGAGAGGTATTCCTTAGAGGAAACAGTATGGTGGTAGAGACAGACAAATAAACAGACAGTGGTGGCGGGAGCGGTGGCTCACAGGTGTAATCCTAGAGCTTTCGGAGGCCAAGGCAGGAGGTCTGCAGGAGCCTGGGCGACAAAGTGAGACCCCGTCTCTACAAAAATAATAATAGTTTAAAACTTAGCCAGGCATGGTGGAGCATGCCTGTGGTCCCAGTGACTCAAGAGGCTGAGACAGGAGGACTGCTTAAGCCCAGGAGTCTGAGGAAGCTGAGGCTTCAGCAAGCCATGATCACACTATTGCACTTCAGCCTGGTGACAGGGCAAGAAGACCCCATCTCTCTCTCTCTCTCTCTCTCTCTCTCTCTCTCTCTCTCTCTCTCACACACACACACACACACACACACACACACACACAACCAGAAAACACAGACAACAACAACCCGTGTGATAAACACTGGGATGGGAAAACATGAGAGACAGAAGGATCGACCCTGAACCCAGCACTGGCTCCCTGGAGAAGGTGAGGGTACAGTTGAGACCTGAACAAGGAATGAATCAGACAGGGGTGGGGTAGGCATGTCTTTGGCAAAGGGAAGAGCACGTGTCAAGACCCAGAGGTGGAGGAGAAACACTTTTGAAGAACCAAAAAGATATTTGGTGCAGCCAGTGCTTGGACAACGGGTGGGTGTGAAGAAATGAGGTGGGAATGGAAGTTGCCAAGGGCTGCTCCCGCACGGCCAAGTTCGTCTAGCTAAGGAGTTAGGCTTCCTTGTAAAGGCAATGGCCGTGCGGAAGGCCGAATGAGGGTGCATGGAACCTCTTGGTACTATATTTGCAACTTCCTGTGAGCCTATAATTATTTTAAAATAAAAAGCTAAAAAAAAATGACTAGTGACTGGGCGCTGTGGCTCACGCCTGTAATCCCAGCACTGTGGGAGGCCAACGCAAGCGGATCATCTGAGGTCGGGAGTTGGAGACCAGCCTGACTAACATGGAGAAACCCCTGTCTCTATTAAAAAATACAAAAAAATTTAGCCAGGCATGGTGGTGCATGCCTGTAATGCCAGCTACTTGGGAGGCTGAGGCAGGAGAATTGCTTGAACCCAGCAGGCGGAGGTTGCAATGAGCCGAGGTCACGCCATTGCACTCCAACCTGGGCAACAAGAACAAAACTCTGTCTCCAAAAAAAAAAAAAATCTTTACAGAATTCTTAAAACATTTTCTTGAGGCAAAACTAAATTACAAATGAATACTGATCTGTTAATGGGTTAATGAATCTAACAAACACATATTAGCCCTACTACAGTGGTGCATAAGACAGACACATAAAGACCCTCCCCGCCCCGCTCCCCCCCCCCCCCCCCCCCCGCCACCCCGCCACTGGGGAGATAATAGACAATGTAAACTCAGAAAGAAGACCAGTTTAAACAATAACAAGGGGCTTCTGAAGGAAAAGAAACCTTTAGTACTTACCCAGATTTCAAGAAACAACCATGGGCCTCCCCTCTTTCTGTCTGAGACAGGCTGTTCAGGTTCTGGATGGTTCTTCAGAGAAATATGCAAATTGCCCTGCAGAAGCAAACCAGAAAAACCAGCCTGTAAGTTCACAGAGTGTGAGATCTGGGGGAAGCTATAGCAGAGGGAGCCGGCTGCTCAGCTGAAGCTCAGAGAAGCCTGGCACTGCACCTTCGCTCCCCTGGGCCCCTGCTCTGAGTGTTTCTACACGTGGTATGTTCTTCTCAGCAGGGCGATAGGGCAGGCAGCTACCATCGCTGAGCACTCACATGTGCCCAGCACAGCCCTGCCACTTTCCAAGGATTGTCTCATTTAATGCCCTTGTTCAACTCTTTGTACCCTGAGCTGTGGTCACTGCATCCAGCTCCTTGGCAGGCACCAGTTGCCTCCACTTCTGTACCTGGTGCCCAACCACAGAGTGGGTGCTCAGGAAATGCCAGTTATGTGAACTGAGGAATGAACTAGCTTTTAGGTTTAAGCAAGAGCCAATTTTCCTATTTTTCTCCCTAAAGGCACTCCTGTTCTCACATGCCAGCGGAGCATCAGATGGGTAAGGGAGATGGAAGAAGGGCCAAGCATCTGGAATTACCCAAAGGAGGTCTCAGGACCCAAAACCTGGGTGTCCCAAAACTTCAGATAATTTGAGCTTTATCTTTAGTGCCATTTTCTTTTTCTTTCTCTCTCTGTCTTTTATTTATTGTTTTTTGAGACAGAGTTTTGCTCCATTGCCCAGGCTGGAGTGCAGTGATGCAATCTCAGCTCACTGCAACCTCCGCCTCCCAGGTTCAAGTGATTCTCGTGCCTCAGCCTCCCGAGTAGCTGGGATTACAGGCACACACCACCATGCCTGGCTAATTTTTTGTATTTTTAGTAGAGACGGGGTTTCGCCATGTGGCCCACCTGGTCTCCAACTCCTGAGCTCAGGCAATCTGCCTGCTTCAGCATCCCAAAGTGCTAGGATCATAGGCATGAGCCACTGTGCCCAGTCCTTAGTGCCATTTTCAATGCCAGTGGAAATAATATTTTTTACCTCTTTAAGCTTCAATAGGGTTTTTATTAAGTTATCAGTGGGAATGCCCTTCTCCTAGACTATGCCTTCCTCCAGGGCATGAGAATGTACCTGTACTGTGTCTAAAAATTGAATATTCATACTATGAGTCTAATCATGTTAAAGTAATGTAGAGGAGAAAAATGACTGGAGGAACTTCCTTGAAAATTATCTCTGAATTACCATTCAGAGATATCAGAGACTTTTCTGTATTTCCCCAAAACTTGCTGCCATAAATTCTCATTGCTTCTGAACTCTCTAGAAAGTTATTTTGTGCACATCTCTTTCCATAGAGAGGGTACTGTTAGGACACACACCAGGATGCTGGCAGTGGCTAACTCCAGGTGGGCAGGAGCCCAGATTGGATTCTGCATGATTTTAATTTTTTCTTTATATATCTGTGTTTTATGAATTATTGACAATAAGTATTGATTTTGAGATTGGAAAAAAAAATTTTAATTACAACATGCTGCACTGGAGCCAGCTCATACCAGTTGGTGACAATCAGTTCTGGGCTTCTTCCAACCCTGTGTCCAGCGACACTGGTGGCCCAAAATTGGCATGTTAGGGATATTTACATCACAGAAATTGGCAAAGATTACCAATCAGGGGTAATTTTATTCTAGAGAGGTGGTAGACCAGCATTCCACCAAATATATGACTCTAGTTATGTTTTTAAAACATGTTTCAGCTGGGTGTGGTGGCTCACACCTGTAATCCTAGCACTTTGGGAGGCTCATACAGGTGGATCACCTGACGTGAGGAGTTTGAGACCAGCCTGGCCAACATGGGGAAACCCCGTCTCTACTAAAAATGCAAAAATTAGCTGGGTGGTGGGGCATGCTTCTAATCCCAGCTACTTGGGAGGCTGAGGCGGGAGAACTGCTTGAACCCAGGAGGCAGAGATTACAGTGAGCCGAGATTGCACCACTGCACTCCAGCCTAGGCAACAGAGTGAGACTCTGTCTCAAAAAAATAAATAAATAAAAATAAAACATGTTTCACAGAACAAAAAGATCAGAAGGAAATATATCAAAATGTTCATGATCATTGTCTTTTGGTTGGTGGGGCTGATGGACTAGAGGTGATTGATTTTTGTTCTTTCTATTTTTCTGCATTTTTGGCATTTCTGAGCTTATTGGTGCTTTTATAATATACATGTTAAAAAAATCTTTTAATTAGAAACAATTCTGCCTTTTGATCCTTACAAGGGGAGTGTTTTATCTCAGGAAGCCCTGGCCCAATGTGGCCCACCAGCCAAGCCAGTGGGGCTGAGTTCACAGTTAAGTTCTGTACATTTGACTAATAGGTCTTGTCGGTAAGAAAAGGAGGTGGGTGTGGTGACTCACACGGGTAATCCCAGCACTTTGGGAGGCTGAGGCAGGTGGATCTCTTGAGCCCAGAAGTTTGAGACCAGCTTGGGCAACATGGCAAAACCCCGTCTCTACAACAAATGCAAAAATTAGCCAGGCGTGATGGTGAGTACCTGTATGTAGTCCCAGCTAGTCGGGAGGCTGAGGTGGGAGGATCACTTGAGCCGTGGGGGTTGAGGCTGCAATGAGCCACGATCCTGCCACTGCACTCCAGCCTGGGTGACAACAGAATGAGACCCTGCCAAAAAAAAAAAAAAAGAAAAGAAAGAGATTCCCTATTTAATAAATGATGCTGGGAGATGGGAGAACTGGCTAGCCATATGCAGAAAATTGAAACTGGACCCCTTCCTTATACCTTATACAAAAATTAACTGAAGATGGATTAAAGACTTATATGTAAAACCCAAAACTATAAAAACCCTAGAAGAAAATCTAGGCAATACCATTCAGGACATACGCATGGGCACAGATGTCATAACTAAATCACCAAAAGTAATTGCAACGAAAGTGAAAACTAACAAATGGGATCTAATTAAACTAAAGAGCTTCTGCACGGCAAAAGAAACTATCATAAGAGCAAACAGGCAACCTACAGAGTGGGAGAAAATTTTTGCAATATATCTATCTGATAAAGGTCTATTATCAATACTCTACAAGGAACTTAAACAAATTTACAAGAAAAAAACCAAACAACCCCATTAAAAAGTGGGCAAACCAGCCGGGCATGGTGGCTCAAGCCTGTAATCCCAGCACTTTGGGAGGCTGAGGCAGGTGGATCACGAGGTCAAGAGATCAAGACCATCCTGGTCAACTTGGTGAAACCCTGTCTCTACTAAAAATACAAAAAATTAGCTGGGCATGGTGGTGCATGCCTGTAATCCCAGCTACTCAGGAGGCTGAGGTAGGAGAATTGCCTGAACCCAGGAAGCAGAGGTTGTGGTGAGCCGAGATCGTGCCATTGCATTCCAGGCTGGGTAACAAGAGCGAAATTCCATCTCAAAAAAAAAAAAAAAAAAAGTGGGCAAAGCACATGAACAGACACTTCTCCAAAGAAGACACTCATGTGGCCAAGAAACATGAAAAAAAGCTCAACATCACTGATAATTAGAGAATGCAAATCAAAACCACAATGAGATACCATCTCACATGAGTCAGAATGATGATTATTAAAAAGTCAGGAAACAAAAGATGCTGGTGAGGCTGCAGAGAAAAAGGAATGCTTTTACACTGTTGATGGAATGTAAATTAGTTCAACCATTGTGGAAGATGGTGTGACAACTCCTCAAAGATCTGGAACCAGAAATACCATTTGACCCAGCAATCTCATTACTGGGCATATACCCAAAGGAATATAAATTATTCTATGAAAAAGATACCTGCATGTGTGTGTTCACTGCAGCACTATTCACAATAGCAAAGACACGGAATCAACCCAAATGCCCATCAATGATAGACTGGATAAAAAAAAATGTGGTACATATACACCATGGAATACTATGCAGCCATAAAAAGGAATGAGATCATGTCCTTTGCAGGTATATGGATGGAGTTGGGAGCCACTATCCTCAGCAAACTAATGCAGGAACAGAAAACCAAACACCACATGTTCTCACTTACAAGTTTCTGTTCCTGTGTTAGTTGAGCAATGAGGACATATGGACACTTGAAGGGGAACAACACACACTGGGGCCTGCCAGCGGGTGGTGTGTGGGAAGGGAGAACATTAGAAAAAACAGCGAATGCATGCTGGGCTCAGTACCTAGAGGATGGGTTGCTAGGTGCAGCAAACCATCATGGCACATGTTTACCTATGTAACAAAACTGCACGTCCTGTACATGTATCCCAGAACTTAAAATTAAAATTTTAAAGAAAGAAAATAAAAAGAAATGGACAAGCGTTGGTGGGACAGACAAGGCAATTCCCAGCTTCTTAGCTCTCCGTGATGCTGGAATGGGGGAGCCCATGGTTCCAACTCTATGGATTGTCCAACTGGACAGGATGGGCCCCAAACTCTTCCAGCTACAAGGGTGTGGGGGCAGCTGTGGGGTGGGAGATATGCCACCTGCTGTGTATACTGGTCCTTGGGGGCTTCTACCCCTTGATCTGATTTAGGATCAGGATCCAGTCCAAGGTAAAACTGGATCTCAAGTGCATCTGAGAAGTTACACTGATTCCGAGAAAGTGCTGGATTCCTGCGACAGAAAAAGCCCCTTCTGCCAGGACCAGCAATATCTCTGTACCCTGGGGTCACCTAAGACACACAAGGCTGGTCCAGCAGCACCCTGGGCTCAGGAGTCACTGACAGAAGGAGGAGCTCCCTGCTCCCAGTAGCCTCCTAAGGGTCTTGTGTCGGGTACTGTGAAGACACAAAATGATATAACTTGGCTGTGTGTTGACCCAAATCTCACCTTAAATTATAGCTCCCACAATTCCCACATGTTGTGGGAGGGACCTGGTGGGAGGTAACTGAATTGTGGGGGTGGGTCTTTCCCGTGCTGTTCTCGTGGTAGTGAACAAGTCTCATGAGACCAGATAGTTTTATAAGGGGAAAACCCTTTTCACCTGGTTCTCACTTCTCTT